TTCGGTGGAGCTCCTTATGGGGCCACGAATCGCGTGAGGGGTGTACCGAAACGGGCGTGACGCCCACATGCGAACTGCACCACTGGAACCTTCAGTGGAGCTCCCTACGGGGCCACGAAACGTGTGAGGGGCGTGCCGAAACGGGGGCGACGCCCACATGCGAGCTGCACGAGTGAGACGTTCGGTGGAGCTCCCTATGGGGCCACGAAACGTGTGAGGGATGAGCCGAAACAGGGACGATGCAGGGATGGAAGGATGGGAGGATAGGAGGGGGAGGAGGAGAAAGGAACGCGGGGCGCTGCCTCGTCGAAACGAGAAGCCAACACCACAGGATGGTTGGGACGAGTCCATATGAAGGCCGGCTCTGGCTCCGAAGATGGTAAAACTCAGACGACAAGCCGGCCATGAGAAGGAGTCGGGAGGTCTGATGAAGTCTTGCTCGGCGTTTCCATGCCTCGAACAACTAGCGCCGCCAGATCTCCAGGGCCACTGCAGCGCATGCGCGGCCCCTGCTGTTCCAACTGGCGGCCGCCGCCTGCGCATGCGCCGGAGCCGAGCCCCCCCCGGGTCGCTCCACCGCGGCATCGGCTTTTTATTGGGGGGGGCGGCCAGAGGGGGTCTCATGAGGCTTCGGAGACCAGGAGGAGGAGGAGGAGGAGAGGAGGAGAGGAGGAGAGGAGGAGAGGAGGAGAGGAGGAGAGGAGGAGAGGAGGAGAGGAGAGGAGGAGGAGGAGGAGGAGGAGACCCACCGCGCCATCGGCTGTGGCCGCAAGCCGCGTGCGTGAGAGTGCCTGTCTCTCGGCGGCTGCCAGAGATCCTCGTGTCCCGTCCCCCCAGCTTCTTGCCCCATTTGTAGAGGCCTACTGCAGGGGGTCTGAGTAGATGGGGTCGGAAGATCGCGCCGCGCCGCCGATGCACAGGCGATACATCGGCGATGCATCGGCGATGCACCAGCGATGCATCGTCGACGTCGGCGATGCATCGGCGACGGCGACGTGAAGCTAACCGGGCTCCACATCGAGCCGCATCGCCGATGCATCGGCGATGCGGAGCGATCCCCCGACCCCATCTACTCCGTCCCCATCTAGGAGGCCTGGAATTTGGGGGCCCCTGTGGCCCTGTGGGTCTCGTGAGGGGTGCTCCAAAGGCGCGGGGGGCTTCCCTGGAGATTCTCGGGGGGGCACCTCGGGCCAGGGGCACCTCTGGCATCACCCTGGCCCGGAGCTCTGCGCCCGAGGGCTGCGGTACGAGGCCGTGCACCCCAAGGCCTGGCCCGATTGCTGTGGCATTTCCTGGATCATTCGCCCGATGCCAGTGGGGCCCAGGGAGACACAAATCGATGTACACAAATCCCAGGATTCACCGTATCCCTCCATATGTTCTTGCTTTTCGTCTGCCCCTCCACTTCCAATTGTTTCCCTTGATATTCCTGAGCATCGACGTTTATGTGTGTCTGCGTCTATTTGCTCCCCCTGAGTTACGTATCTGAGGCGTCGGGATAGTTCCAAGATCGCCCATGGGCGCCTCAACAAGGGTCCAAGACAGCCACTGGAGGCCCCCGAGAGCGACCCAAGCGCTTCCAAGGGCAGCCCCAAGAAGCGATGCGTTGTACATGCTCCCATCAGGACCCCAAAAGAACTCCAGTATAACTCCAATCGGCCTCCAGCCTTCTCTCGTAGGTCTCTAAATCCAGAGATGCTCGCCTTTCTGATCCAGTCTATGCGCATCGACGGTCCTCCTCCCGACAACTCCACTGGGCAGCGGGTCTGGATGCAATGTTTCAAATACCCAAAGCGTCAAGAACTTCACGTGCGAGGACAATATCGAAGTTATCAGTGGGCGACGACCACCATCACAACTACGACTATCACGTCCACGGCGATGATGGCCACGGCGACCACGCCCGCGACGACGGCCACGCCGACCTTGACGGCGATGACGGCGACGTCGAAGGCGACGGCGACGACGGCGGGGGCGACGACGACCACGATGGCGACGACGACGACGACACGGACAGCGAGAATCTCTGAGAGCGACGGCCTCCTGGCGACCAGCGACAGCCACGCCAATCACGACGGCGACGGCGACCACGGCGACCAAAACGACGACGACGGCGGCGGCGACAACGAGTACGACGTCGTCCGCAGAGGCGGCGCTGTGTCGGGTCCTGGCGTCGTGGAAGGCGCGCGAGATGCACTCCTGGAGGGAGGGCCGAGGCAGGCGAAGCCTCGAGGCTCGATGGTCGAAGTTCGAAGGTCGAGGCTGTTGGAGCTCATCGGAGCTGCCTTGGGCCTCCATGTGCTTCCGGAAGCCTCGAGGGGCCTCCGGGGAAGAGGGCGCCCCCCAGAGGTCGAAGCAAGCAGTTTCGCGACCTGCCCAGGACGGTCTCCTTTGTTGACGGGGCAGGCCAGCGGTTGACTCCCTCTCCTCCCCCACACCTCCATCCCATGCGTCCTGCGTTCCTGCTCCTCCTCATCATCCTCCTCCTTCTCCTCCCCCGCCCATTCTTTCCCTCCTCCTCCTCCTGCTCCTCCTCCTCCTCCTCCTCCTTCCAGCCCTCCTCCTCCTTCTACTCATGATCCTCCTCTTCCTCCTCCTCATCCCCCTCGATCTCCTCATCATCCCTCCTCCTCCTCCTCCTCCTCCTCCTCCTCCTCCTCCTCCTCCTCCTCCTCCTCCTCTTCCTGTTCCTTCTTCTCCTCCTCCTCCTTCTCCTCCCCCTCCTCTTCCTCCTCCTCCTCCTCGATTTCTACTCGTCCTCCTCATCCTTCTCTTCCTCCTCCTCCTCCTCATCATCCCCCTCTTCCTCCTCCGTCGCCTCCATACCATTCCCTGCGTGCGCTGCCCAAGCGGTGGAAGCCAGACCCGTCGCGTCTGACTCGGTGGCCATGGTCTTACTTCCCTCCTTCTCGCCTCCCCTCATGGGTCATCATATGTCGGCTCTGTCGCATCAGCATTACCATCGCCATACCCCTCCTCCGCCTCCAACTCCCCGAACTCCTCCGCATCAACTTTATGACGTTCCTCTCCCTCTCATCCTCCCCCTCCTCGCCTTCCCTCCCCCCTCTCACACCCTCAGGATGGCAGGCGGATAAGACAGAGGAGCATGAAAAAAGTGGAGGAGGAGGTGGAACACGAGGAGGCGGAAACGGAGGACAGAGGTGGAGGAGAAGGAGTGAGTCGAGGGTGGGATGAGGAGGGGAAGTGTGCTCCCCAAGGGGGCTCCCTGTCCCGGCGTTCACCCAGTACATGCCCCCACCCCACGCCCTGTTCCTTCAGCCCGACCTTGTTCCTCTCTTCCGATGCCTCCTCCCCTGCTGCCCCACCTTGCTACCTCGTCCGCGCTGCTGCTTTCCACCTTCCCCTCCTTCCCTGCTACAGTCGGGGCGCTGCCCCAAGGAACCCTAGATTCGCCGGCCCAACGGGCCATGGGCGTGCTAAGATCTCTGGTAACAGGTTAACAATAATCTAGTTCGCGCGCGCGGGGCCGCCCCTGGGGGTCCCCGGACGAAAAGTACCCTGGGACACCCCCGGGACACCCCCGGGACACTCGGATCAGAGATGCCAGACTGGGCAATCCTTCGACACCCCTCACGTGGATCGTGGCTTCCGAGGGGAGGGGCGCAATCGACTACCCCCCCCTCCTGACCCAAGAGGTCCCCAAGAGCCCCCCAAGAGGCTGCAGGGTCCCCCAAGACCAAGAGGTCCCCAAGAGGCCCCCAAGAGGCCCTACAGAGGGCTCCAGGGCCGGCGGAATGAGCGAAGCGATAAAATACGGAACGAGGCCCCTTTTTCCCATAAGTTAAACTTCGCTTTCCCCTGGAAAACCTCAGGAGAACCTGAGGCAAACTGTTAAACAGTCAAGGAGCACCGAGCCCCTCCCCAACGAAAAGGGTTCGTTCTTCAGCGCCCCGACTGTACCTCCCTTCTCCTTCTTCCTTTTGAACAACTCCCCCCCGGTCGCACTCCGAGACAATTCGGTGTGGCGGGCCGGTCCTTTCGCTTGAGGCTTCCTCACCACTGGTGAATGTGAAACTTCAGATGTGCAAAACCTCGCGAATTGAGGGCAGGCCGTTTTCAAAGTGCTGCTCTCGCCGTTGCGCCGCGCGCATCCGATGTATACGTTTGCAAGAACTTTACGGGTGGCTCTCGCCTCAGCGCCGCGCACAGTCGTATGAAAGTTCGCAAGGGCTTGAGGGATGGAGGGCGCTAACTTTTCAAAATGTAACTCTCGCCTTAGCCCCGCGCGCAATCGTCTTATGAGCCCACACAAGTTTCAATCGTTCATATGATGACGTGCCGCACATGCTTGTTTGGCACGAAGTAAGACTGTGGGAGCGCAACAGTCACGTTAATTCGCGGAGTTGAAATCTCAGGGGATGGCGTTCTGGCACGATTCAGGATCTTCAGGGCGCAACAGTAACGTTGATTCGGGCACGGTTCAGGATTTCCTGACAGTGGCCCTCAAACGGGCCACTTTCTCTCAGTGGAATTGAACCCTGGTATAGGGGCCTTTGAAAAGGGAACTTTGGGGCAGGGTTCATTGCAACATCGTTGATGAGTCTTGGATTTGCACTGGTCCTCCTCCTCATCCTCCTGCGTCCCACTCTCCTTCCATCCCCTCCCTCCTCTCCAGGACACACGGAGGAACAACAGGAACAACTTAATGAGGACCAAGACTCAGATTGGATGAAGTCTCGAATTCTGGAGCCAGCTGCACAATAAGAGCGGGCTCGCACAATCTGGACTGCTGCGAGAAGTTGCGCACAGCGGGGGCGTGGATCAAATGAAACAGATCGGGGGGAGGGGAAGCAGCAGGAGGAAGACGACGTCGAGCCCCAGAGATCCGATGTTGTTTTTCAGTACGCGGTCCACGGAAAATCAACTTTCCATCTTGAGTCGTTGTTTGACGGTCCCAGGGCTGGCCGAGGGCCTCAATACGTTGGACCTCTGAGGGGGGAGCAGTGTCGGCGGGGAGGCGGCGACGAGAACGACGACGAGGGAGCAGGAGAACCCAGAGTCGTGAAAGCTTGCCGCGATCACTGCGCGGCCGCGGCCATCTGTGCGCTCAGCATGCTCGCCTTCCGCTCCAGGAGCTTGGTGAGCAGCTTGGACGCGGCCTCAGCCTTCGAAGGGGGGAGGCGTCCAAGAGGAGGGGTCAAAGAGGGGGCTCGCAAACCATGACCCCGGGCACGTTCGCGGAGGGGGGGGGAACCAGGGGACGTGCTGAGAGAAGAAGAGAGGGCACTGAAATCTGGGGCACACATCTCATGGCCCCGACCATGATATCCCACCCCCGAGTCCTCACCCTCCTCTTTGCTGCCCCCGAGCCTTTCGCAGCGCCTGCTTGTACTTCCGGTTCGGCCCCTTGGCCGTGCCGGCGCTCTGCTGCACATCAGCCTCGGCCCTGTCGAGCTCCTCCAGGGCACCCTCGAGCACGCGGAGCTGCGAGCTCACCGTCCTCGCCTTGAACTCCCTGCTCTTGGCCAGCATCCTCTCGTTGGCGGTCTGCACGTCACCCTGGGCGTTCACGAGCGCCTCGTCCTTGTCCTTCTCCTTCTCCATCTCGTCGATCTCCTCCTGGAGCTCGGCCGCCTTCTCCGAGGCGGCCTCCAGGATGCCCTTCCTGCCGTTCTCGAGCATCCACTGAGGCACCTCCTCCAGGGGGAGCGAGCAGCTGCACGAGCACATTAACTTCTGGAGCTCCACTCATGGGCAGCTTTTCCACCACCACTACCATAGGTAGGAAAGGGAGGACGAGGACGAGGACGAGAAGGAAAAGGAGAAGGACCTCCGAAGGTTGATGCTTGAATCGCGACCTCCTCCTCCTCCTCCTCCTCCTCCTCCTCCTCATACTCCTCCTCCGCCTCCTACTCCTCCTCGGTGTCCTCCTCCTATCCTTGTCTTCTTCCCTCCTCCTCCGCCCTCTCCTCCTATTCCTCCTCCTCCTCCTTCTTCTCTCGTCATCCCCCTCATCCTCCTCGGATGCTTCGACCGCGAACGCTCGGGGGCTCCTCGAGATCATCAGATCGTTCCACAGGGGCCGCTGGCGGCGTTCAGCCCAGACCGCCCCGGGAAGAGGTCCGAAAACTCCGGCTCGCGTGCCGCGCTTTTGGTGCCTCGATCCTCCTTGGCATGCTGCAGCTCCGCGGCCTTGCACGCCGCCCAGCGGTTGGCCCATCTGGCGTCCTCCTCCACGATCTCGTCCATCCACTTCGGCGTCTCCTTGCCCTCGGCCTTCAGATACCATGTTGCTTGACACCGTACATCTACCAAACGTATATACAGAAAACCACTAACTGCGGATAAGAGTGCGGCGGCGGCGGGGTCATCGGCAGTCTGCGACGCTCTGAAGCGACGCTCTGAAGAAGCCCGCCGCAGGCGCTGATTTTGGTGGGTCGCGGGTGGGTCGCGGGTGGGAAGGCTCGCGGGGTGGGCCGCGAGGTGGTCGCAACGTGGGTCAAAGATGGGTCGCGGGCGGTTCGCGGGCGAGGAGGACGACGACAACAAAACAACGCAACAACATCAACAACAACAACAAACATACCAGCAACAACAACAACAAAGGCACCAACAACGACACCACCAACAACAACATCGTCAACAGCAGCACAAGCAACACCAACACCAACACCAACAACAACAACAACAACAACAACAACAACAACAACAACAACAACAACAACAACACTAACAACATCAACCACAACAACAATCGATGTAAGACTGTTCGCTCTCAACTGCTCGAGGGCCATTCAATATGTATATCCAAAACCCTCGATACCCGCCCTGATGGTCCTCGACCGTGCCCCCATAGCAGTACCTTTCTTACCTGCAAATTGTATTCCGTGCAGCCCCCAAGGCAGGGGAAAAGAAGACGGATGAAAGGAAATGACAGAGGGCAGCTGGGTTACTAGAGCGTGCTCCTCTGCATGAGTCATGAGGAAGTCTCAAGCGGCAGCGCGATTCCCAACTAAATCGTGAGGACATCCACAGAGAGAGCGCAATTCCTGAGTGTCGAGGGCGCGGCCTCTGAAAGCATTGCAAGGAAATGCCACGCGAGAGCCTGATTCCCGCACACATTGTGAAGAAGGCCCTCTGGGGCCCAGATCTCGCCAAGACTGGAGCGTTCCCCCGAAACGCCGACTAGTGCATCCCGAACGTCGTGCTTGTCAGCCGATGTTTCGGCGAGCCTCAGCCGTCTATATCTGTATAAACACGTGAAAAAAGTGTGTAGCCATGTATACATGTACACATGTACCATGTCTGTTGTGCTTGCTCTGCCCTCCGCCTTCATGCGCTTTGACTCCGCGACCGCCCACTTCGCCTTGCCCCGCTTCTCGTCGTCGGACACGATCTTGTCCATCCACTCGGGGACCGTCTCGTTCTGCTCGAGCATCTGCTTCACCGCCTTCTTGGCCCACTCGAGGGTGACGTGCTCCTGCATGCGCTCCCTCCTCTGCTTCCAGGTCAGCTGGCTGTCGTCCTTGCACCACGCGGGGGCGCCCTCTGGCAGGATGCCGAAGGAACCCGCCTTGAAGTCGACGGCCACCTCCTCTTTGGCGGCGCGCGCAGACAAGGGGGTGGCGTGAGGGGGCCGGCCTTCTGAGAAGGCCCCGGGGCTTCTTGGAAGGCGAGGGCCTCCTCAAGAGGGCCCCGCGGGCTTCTAAGGCCTTCCAGATCCTCAGAAGCCCCTGGGGTCCATCTGAGAATTTGGACGCCCGAAATGGGTACAAAAAAAATGGGTACAATGCCCAACAGCAAATGTTGTCCCAAACCAATAGCGGCCGCTGTTGGGCAGGCGGCCTCCTGTCTCGAATGGACACAGGCCGAGGCGGCGTGGACAGCGAGCCCTGTTCAAAATGAACAAGATCCGCTGTTGGGCATTGTACCCATTCTTTCAGTACCCATTTCGTGCGTGCAGAGAGAAGGCCCCTGCCTCCCAAGAAGCCTTCCGGGCCTATCCGCAGGCCGCCCCCCTCGCGCTGCCCAAAAAACTCCGACGCCGCGAATGTCTTCCACGGCGGACCCCTGGAGATCTGGACCCCTTCCCCAGGACCGGTCTTCATCACGAGGCCGCTGTGGCATCACAGCAGCAATTCGGCCCCTGACTCTCGTCCTGGGCTCGGTTTAGTGAAGTGATGAATTTCGGGGTCCTTACGTGGGAAAAACATAACTTCACTAATCTGGGGCCCCTGGGCCTCAGTGGGCCCTGGGGCCCAAAATCAGTGAAGTGATGGTTATCGGGCCTCGGATTCATCTCGAGCCGTTCGCTGACGGTCCCGGGGCCCGGTCAGGGCTCCTGGAGACAAAAAACTACCACACATCCGTCGCGTTGTGCCTTTTTCACCACGCGGGGAAGGCTGGCCCAACCCTTGCAGCGCGCGCCGCCCGAACCTCGCCGGAGTGCAGGAAGGCGAGCTCGTCGACCGTGGAGGCGCTGGACTGCAGTAGGATGGTGCCGTCCTGCTGCGCGGCTGCGCCGAAGGCCACCAACGCAGCGGAGCACGCCGCCCTGAGCGCCATGGCGCGCCCTTGAGAATGGGAGCAGGGCCCCCATCGAGACAACGGCGGCCCTCACGGGCGGTTTTACGCCCTCAGTGGGCCTCCCTAGAAGTTACTCGTCGCCACGCGTGGGACTCGCGTCGAGAAATGAGTCAGGGTGGGCCCCGTGAGGAGGCCAGGGCCGGGTTCTGTTGGAGCACCGCTCCATCGTGTGTTACCACGCCTCAGCCAACACAGCGCAAATATTCGCACTACCGCTGCAAAATGCCCCCAACTCACACGACAACGCTAAGCAAGATTTTGGCCGGGTTGTCTGAACGGATTGCGGACGACGTTGTCTCAATGGCGCCCCTCCCACGGAAAGTACTGCAGGGCCTGGCTGTGCCAGGCTTTTTAGGCCTGGAGATCGTACAGTTACGCAGGACAGTGCCGAGAGGATGCTGGAGCCAAGAACAGTGCCCACGGTGCTGCGAGAGAAGGAAGAGGAGGAGGAGGAGGAGGAGGAGGAGGAGGAGGAGGAGAAGGAGGAGGACAGAACGCTACGAGCATAGCTTTTGAAGTTTGCCGAACGTAAAACAATTGAGGGCAAAGGTGACGATGATGACGACGAGGACGACCACGATGGCCACTGCGGACGACGACCACGACGATCGACGGCTCCCTCACCTCCACCTCCCCCATCATCCTCCTCGTCGTGCTCCTCCCTTCCTTTGTGACGGATCGCATCGGAACAAGGATCGAGTCAGGCCGCGTCGGCAGGGGGGCCGGAATCGAATCGGATCGGCTGCTCCCAGGTGGGCAGCAAAACCGTGCATTAGGCCGCATCGGATGGTCGGAATATCGGATTCGAGCCGGAACGGGTCGGGCCTGCCGATATCGTGATCGAGTTGGGCCAGTCGGATCGGAATGTGCCCTGTCCTTTGTCCCTCCCACGTCTCCCATCCCTCTCTCTCTCCTCTATCCCTCCTCGTCCACCGAAGAAGCACCCTGAGGTTTCTGGAGGCCCCCTGACAGACGAAAGCAGCAAGCAAGGAAGCCAAGCGCAACACTGCCTCGTCGAACTACGCTGAGGAGAGAGCTGAGCGGACGGTGGCGGCGAGGAAGCGAGGAGGGAAGAGACACATCAGAAATAATCAGACCGCGCATGGGAAAACACAAGCTGCCAACTGTATTGTCGGGACTTCGCGTTTTCGTTTGCGGCGCCACTTCCTTGGCGTGGTCCCTCTGGGCTCGTATGCGCGGACACGCACGGTATTACCTCGAGGCCGACGTGATACCTTGTTGTAGAACTGGCCGTGCCTTCCTCATAGGTCGGCGCTCATTGGGCTCGCGCGCACGCGCCCCGACCTCAACACTTCATACTCTTGCTGCGTACGCGACTATATGTTCAAAGCCCGTCGAAAACAATCCACCTGGAATCTGTCTGTCTGAGCAACTTCAGCTTTGTAATACAAGCACGGCTCTAACAGTGCCCAGCGTTTGGAACACTCATGTTGCTTCCCTTTTTCACAGGGTCACCGATGGATTGCTGTTCGCGCTCCACTCAGTAGCCCCCCCCCCCCAAGTATAGGGCAAATTAAGACGACCCCCGTGCATTCCTATCCGTGAGAACACTTAACAGCCGCTGCGCATTCTAATCATGACGGCATTATTACATGTGACTTCCAGGCCGTACTGTTGGCCTTCGTGCGCAAACAAACCACATACTCTTGTAATGCTTCTCGGGCTTGCACTCGCAAGACCTGCGTCGCCCACGCACAACAAAGCACCACAGACTACGAATCTTGATTCTCGAAAGCACGCGCCATAGAACGGTGGATGTTGCCGGCATCGAACATCACGACAGTCTGAACAATGAACAATAAGTACGGCGACGGCCGGCATCCTTGCGCAATGCCAGCCCCATGCGCGTCGCCGAGCCGCCAAGCTACATTCCGTGTTGTCATAGATTGCTTTGATCAGATCCACAATTTGAACCAGAATACCAAATCTAGCGCGCGCAACGAACGTCGGCTCGTGATTGATGCGGCCGAAACCCTTGCCCAATCTAACACTATAACAAGTACTCGGCTCCTCTGCAACGCATTCAGCATCGAATATACGGCGTGTTATTATGGTTGCGCCTGTTGCGCTCCGGATTGGTCTGAAGCCGAGCTGCGTGGATCGAAAGCGATCCTCCGCCCCGCCAGGCTAATGCTGTTTTTGCAACGTCCAAGCCAAAACTGCATAACCTCATGTCAACAATGAAACTGGCCGGTAGTTCTCTGAGAAGCTGGCATCTCACGCAAAGAACAAGCAGGGACACGCATGCGTCTCCAGACGCGGATAGACATTCCCAAGCCCTGGCTGTATGTATACATATAGCCTTTAGCTACATCGATGTATACACATTGTATATGTGTATATAACATGGGTGCCGCTGCTTTTGATACTGCCAGCGGTTATAATGATTGCGCCAACTTGTTCTATGCAGACCCCATGCGCGTTTCCATGTAGAGGGTTTCCCAGAGAGCCTGTCCCACCAAGCAGCGTTGTCTGGGAAGCCGATTTGCGAGTGCTCTTTTCCGAAGCAGTCTGCCACTAAGTTTGTCCTTGGTCTCTCTCTATGCCGCCCCCTCTTTGTTTGGGAATGGCACTGGCGTCTTCGGACATGTAGTCTGCAATGCGCGAAATGGTCCCCAATAGCCCGCAACAGATGCAAAGTCCAACCGTTTTGGCTTGTCCCGTCGAATTTCCTTCTGTCTTTACTGAGCTGCGCGTTTCCTCCTCTGTTCCGTCTGCTCCCGCCCAGTCTGGTTGTGCTGGTAAAGCAACATTGGTCCCAGAGACGCATGGTCGGTGACGTCGCGCTTGAGCCCAGACATCTCTGAAGCTTCATGCGTAACTCGAGCGACATTTGCCGCGCGATCGTCCACTGATTGCTTTGGTGGTGGCTCCAGATATGAGAAAATTCATAATGTTTCTGGATATGGGACAATAAATATCTCCCACAAATCCGTGTTTAATTGCGGTGGCCGTCTCTGCGGGGCTACACAACAGCTGTGCGCAGCATCTCTTAGGAAGACGCACTGTTTGAGTGAACGCCACCGAAGAACGATTTGCCGACAAAGGACTTTGTACTCCTGCACGCTTCCAATAATCATTCTTTGTGAGAATATGCCATCCGCGATGGCGGGGACGAGTCGCTCAAGTGATCGTCTACCACATCTGATTCGTCAACCCGCCGCATGTACAGACTGGAACTGAAATCCGCAGAGTAGACAATGCGTGTGTGAGACCTGAGTCGTTCCAGGCGTTCGTAGAGCAGCCGGAAGGAATCCGAAACTCGTCGCCATCTCCAGCACAGTGGGTATCCTCACAACATGTTTGCGACGCCAGCGCATATGTTTACCTTCAAGGAAACAAGCCTGTCCCCCAAGCGCCAAAGGATGATGCGCAACGGAAGCGTTGGTGGATGGCGCATGGACGGACCCGACGCCTGAATTGAAACATACTGCGTGTTCTTCCGCGGTCCCCGACAAGACGACAAAGCACCCATTCCGAATGATGAAAGTATGGGAATATGTACAACTGCTTCTTGCGTGCACAAGATATCAATATCCAGTTGCACCATATGGTAGAACATCTGTTCTAGCGCCCGGCACTATTTCCCAACCCTTGCAAGTTTCAGCTAGCAACAACTTAGTGTTCCAAGGCTCTGCGCTTCCTCTTTTGGCACCCCCAGTGTCCTGGAAAGGTTTGTTTCGAGCGCCCGCAGCCCGAGTGAGAGCACGTGGACCTTTCAATGTTCTTGTTTACCCAGACTGTCGGCAGTTTTGCCCGCGCTGTGAACTGCCACCTTCATGTCCGAAACCACGGCGAAATCAATACGAAATGACAAGGCGCTCGGGCGATCCAGGACGCGGGAGAAAATATGCAACTCCGTAGCTGTCCGCAGGACCGGCCTGAAGTCGATGTAGACGGCGGTACAGTCTCAGGCAGGAAAATTGTTGAAACAGTATCATGTTTTGGTGCGAGGGCAATTTGCCCAATCTCACGATAAGACCAGCATCATACTTCCAAAAAGCATGTGTCTCAAATCCTGCTCCAATGCTGGATGCTTCTGGTACCTGCTGGGGTCCCTGTGTTGCCATTGTTTTCCCTATGCCATTGCCGGTTTCTTTCGTTCCGCGCTTTTCACGGGTCAACACATGATGGTACGTTTGTTTGAGGTGTTATACTTGGCAACTGCAGCGTGAGCCCTCACATGTTTCCCATTCTTGCGTCCATATATACTCCAGGCCCTGATATAAAAGTTTACGATGATCGCCAATTCCCCCCAGCACGAAGACCTGCAGCGGTGAGCCGTCGACGACGTTCCTTTGGTCGCGACCTACACGTGCATGGTGTTACGCAGCATGCGTTTCAAACCAAAACAAAAAATACGGACGGCACGGAGTGCTGGCGGTCTGTCTTTCGCAGCCCAGGAATTTCTCCCACTGGTTTTGAGATTTTCGCGAATGAAAAATGCGACTGCGGTGTATGTTACCGTACTGTTTCCGAAATCGGCGACCACGATGTTAACGCACTCGCCTTTGCAACAAGCTTATGATGGAATTGGTCCCTTCGTAGACGCCAATATCTGTTCACTTCTGAGAACGAGTCGAAGCCGTGCAACGTTGCTGATGACTGCTGTGGTCTCTCTCATTTCGCCAACGTCCGCGATCTTGCACCGTGATGACAAGCCGGCCGCAAGACCCAACGCACGACTTTGACGTTCAAGGTCCTCGAGCTTAGTGGCCGTCGCCGCGTTCGTCGACACTGCTGCTGTGAATTTCGCGGAGGGCGGCCCCCACGGCATTACCAGAGCCTCCAGCCGAGCACACGAATTCATCCAGATCGGCTTTGATAGGCTGCACCGTCGTCTCGAGGTCGTGCTGTGGAACTCCGTGCTCTTAAATGGCTGCAAGGTATTGCTGAATACGTCGTAGATGTTGTGCAATGACCGTGCCGATGTTTGACAAAGTCAACGGCGCCTCGCTGCCATTACCGTTTCCTGTATCGTCCTGCTAAACTCCCCCACTTTCGATGAGGTGTGCTTGACATTGGAGTTGCAATGCGCTGGCGGAGGATTCGTCGCCAAGCCTGCCCATGCCATGTAGTGGAGTGTGGATCCACTGTTGCATTGCGTTGCTCTCCCAGCTGGCGCAGGCGTCGACGATGGTGAAGCGGACGATTGATGTGACCTTGAACAGGTGCCTTACGGGGGATCCTGGCGCGCCCTTGTCACCACCGATCGAAGAAGCCACGTGTGTTGTACAAGACCCCCCCCAACCGGGCAAATTCTCGACCTAGCCTGACCCAGCCCATTCCGACACTGCGCCAGAGCTGAGCTGACACATGAAAGGTAACGTGGCCAACGGCTCGGTGACACCAGTGCGTCAAAAGCGCAGGAGCGGTCGTAACAGGGG